TGCAAAAACCCCCGAGCCGGAAAAGAGCGGCAGCCACGTGCAAATGCCGCGGGGGTATTTAAATCCCCCGCGGATTTGCAATTCCGAAGTGTCTCATTTAGCATTCCTTTTCCGGAAAGGGATGCCAATGTAGACACAGCCTGGAGGTTTTTCGCCTTCCTCTGTAGCATGGGGCACAGATTACTTGCTGGAGGATTCTCTGCATCTTGGGGTCTTCAAACCATCATTTGAGGACTTCAGTATCTGAGATCTAGGTGAGAGGATTATTTCAGGAGTGGGTGGGTGAGATTCTGTGGCCTACATTGTGCAGGGGGTCAGACTAGATGATCGTAATGGTCCCTTCTGATCTTAAAGTCTATGAGTCTATGTTATTGACTACCTGCCCCCCGCCCCCCGCAAGTACATTTTTTTAGAGGCTGGCTCAGCACGGCTCAATCCTCACACTGGCTCTTAGTGCTTAAAGTGCAGAGCTACTGCGGGAGGGGGGTGATGCTGGCTTCTGACACTAAGAGCCGGTGTTCAGGCAGTCTGGCTCATTCCTGGCTCGCGCCGGGACCAGGCATCAACCCCCATGCTAGCTCTTAGTACTTGTAGTGCAGCCGGGTCCTGTCTGTGACAGTGAGGTCATGGAAGATCCCTAGGGGGTGCCTCCCGGAGTGCTGACATGGCCACTGCCACTCGCCTTCCCATTCTCTGGTGCTTTTCACCTCTCTGTCCTGCTGGGACTGCTTTCTCATCGGGGGGAGGGGGAGCTGAGATCACTGCCCTCCCACCCAGAAGCAGTACAGACCCTGAACCTCTTCAGGTGTAAGGAGAGTATAGTTTAGGGCCCAGCTTCCTGGGATACCACTCCCCAGATGGGATGAGAATTCCAAAAGAATTATTTGGGTAAGGCCCCTTTAACAATGGAAGAGGGGGATGTGCACACTGATTGCTTCCCCAGGTAACAATCATTTACACTGGGCTTGATAGCAAGCAAAAGTGATTTTATTAAGTACAAGCAGTAGGATTTAAGTGGTAATAAGTGAGAACAGGCAGAGCAAAGTAGATGGCAGATCAAAAGTAATAGAAAACGCTTAGCTAATTCTAACACTAAATCCTCAGTATGAACTTATTACACGCTCACCTTAAAACTGTTTCTGTTCAAGCGGCACCTTCAAACCAGGGAAAATCTCCCCTTCTCCGGGGCCTCTGGTGCACTCTCCTGGGTGTGCCAGCCAAAGACCAAACACTCCCATTTTCCTATAGTTTTAAAAGATTGCATGAGGAATTTGCTGGTCAGTCACTGCCAACCACTGTTAAGACTTAAGAGCAAAAGACCTTTTGCATATGACTGCCCAGATGCTGAGGCCTCCCAGCAGTAGAATGGCTTGATGGCTTTCCATTTACACATTTAAAACCATAAAGCATTCCTTACTCCATATGTCTAATTTTACATACAGGAATGATACATACACCAAGGTAAGATAAACAGATCCAGTGGATTATGACATGAAGATTAATAGGTTACGCCAGTGTTTCTTATACTGTCTTCCATGGCACACCGGTGTGCTGTGAAGCAGTTGGAGGTGTGCTGTGGAGAACAGAATTCAAAATGGCTGCCCTTAAAGGGGCAGGCAACCTTTTTTAAAAAAAAAAAAAATTTCTCAACAAAAAATCCTTAGTGTTCCCCATTTAAAAAAAAATGGTTGGGTGCTCCTTGGTCTTAAAAAGTATAAGAAACAGTGGGTTACATGAAGCAATTTGTCTCAAGCATCTTTGAGTTATAGATATTTGTGTCCCTAGGTCCATTTCATAAAGTGTTGGGCAGGAAGTGGTCTATCACACCGGCATGAGTCAGGACTGAGACAGCCTGCCTGTGTGCCAGCTCTTAGTGCTGGGCCCCTGCTGTGGCTGTGCACTATAAGCACTAAGAATACAAATTTTTCTTGACTACACAATGAATTTCACACTTCTTAGCCTCCCTAGTTTGAGGAGAAAGCAACTCTTGCTTTTTCCTAGCTGTCCCGTGGCTGATACACAGAGCAACACTAATTGGCTCCTGAAGTCACTGCATCCAGCTCCCTTCTTTATGTTTTGATAGCAGGAAGTGGTGCAGGCAAGGAGTTTCAAACACGAATCCTGCGGTACAGCTCCCCCGCACATTGCGCACCAGAAAACGAGGGAAAAGAAACTGGGGCAGGACCTCTAAGCGTATAAATAGTGCCGAATGATCTTAAATGTCTATGCAGAGCAGAAAATGTTTCACTGTTAACATCTCATCTTCTGTGAGGATTCCCATCAGAAAAAAACTGCATGGAGCTCAAATTCTCTAGCTTGAAGAAAGAAATGATTAAGCAATCCTACAAGAATTTAAACCTCTGGTTCCAGGGAGTCCTTGTGACTTATACCTGATATTTAGATCATTAGGCATTTTTAACAGTACATTTATATTTATTTTGGTAATATTAATACTACTCTCAGGTTAGTATTTTATGTCTATTTATTTTTGCTATTTATTAAACACATGGGTTTGCTGAAGTAAATGTCATGTTTTGGGGATATTTAGTAACTTTTATTGCTATTACTTTAAAGTAAAAGACCCTCTCTTCTTTTCTTCCAGTACCAACCCTGGTGTCTGATGGCATACGGAATGGTGGCCTGCTGGTTTCTGTTGGGAATCAATGGGTTGGCAGTGCTTTTGCTACATATAGCCATTTCGTTTTCTGTGGCTCAGTTTCAGACAGCAGTCCTGACATGGCTGTGCTCACTGCTTTTGTTATCAGCATTACGCGTACCAGCTTTGGAAGAAGCAATGGTAATTTTATTAGTGTGCTTAAAGTATGGCATTTATTTATCCTGACCTTGGACTATGTCTTATTGAAAAATCCTTATCAGGATAATCACTTTTAGTTTTACCTATGCAAAGATGATTCAAAAGAACTCTCTAGGTCAGGCATGTCAAACTCGAAGCCTACTGAGCCAAATGAAAACTGATAGCTTTCAGGGCCACCAAAGAAAATGTACTCTTATCGGAAAGTTGTAATTATTTATTATTCTAGATTATGTTTTAGGTATATTTTAAAATATTTTTTCAGGGCTTGTTTAACTATAATACAGTAATTTGATGTGTAAAATTATTATTTGCGCATATGTATTTTAATTTATATATAAATTTAAGGTACTTTATTTTTTTATATGATACATAACTTGTTGAAATAAAAACAAGTATAGACAATGGTTAATCAAATAGAACAGACTTCAGTGAAAATTTGAGATACTTCGTAAATTGGAGATTTTGCATAAACATATAATTATTTGTGCGATTCCAAAAAAGGACATACTTACTAATACAAAATTAATACAATACATTTTGTGACTTTATTTGGGAATAAATAAATGAAAACCAAAATGTTAGCAAAATATCCCTCTCTGCTCCCCCAGAGTTAGGCCCCCCCCAGTCTCACCCCAGCCTAATTCCTCACCCCTCCCTCAGAGCCAGGCACTCCCAGTCCTCCCTCCAACCATTTTAATGCCTGGGTCCCGGAGCTGCCATCACCACTGCTGCCGCCACATTTCTTCATTCAGGTACTGGAGCACATGAGCAAAGTGGCCGGCTATGAGCAGGCGTTTGATGCCATACTTAGAGCCTCTGGCCGGCTGTGAGCACATCCTGGAGCACTGAGCATCAGGCCGGCCATGAGCAGTCGCTGGGGCGCATAGCGGCTGGCTGGCTATGATCTGCACTCGGCCATGTGCTCAGAGAGGCCAGTGGGCTGCACTTTATTCTTTTATAAAAATGTAGTGGCGGGCAGAAAAAAAACTTCGATTTGGCCGCATGTGGCCCACCAGACACCTGTTTGACATGCCTGCTCTAGGTGCTAAGGTATAGTGGGTGTTACTACAACCCGTGATTGTAGCATTTCATTTGGAAATGTTAATAGCTTTGCGTACAAGGGCCCCCAGCCCAGCTTCCTGGCTACTTTTGGTGCCTTTTCTCATGCAGAGCTAGAGCAGATCTGTCTAAATTCCGGGGGGGAAGGGGAGCCGAGGCGACCCAGTCCCCCTCCCCATCAATCCCCCAGTCCTAAGTTTTGCTGCTATTTTTGTTTTTCAGCCCTGGTCAGTTCCTTCTCTCTCTTTTTTTCCCCCCTCAATAAGTTTTGCTGCTCTTAGGTGTGGGGGGCATGAGGGTCTCTTGAATCAAAAAGGGGGCATGATGCTGAAAAGTTTGGAAAACACTGCTCTAGTGGGTTCTCTCTAATATGTATTGTCATGGTCTGCTGTGGCTCTGAGTACTAAAAGATAACTAGATGCATAACGAGGTTATTTGTCTATAGAGTTTCATGTTGATGTAAAACGAGAGGAGAAGTATGAGGCAGATAGAACAGCCTTGTTTTCCATTGATGCTTACTTGTTCTCTTTTAAACAATAGATGAAATAAACGGTACTGTATGCTCAAATGAATCTAGTTTACACACTTTCTTTAAGCCCTGGCTATATTTTAATTAAAACTGCTGTCTGGATTTCACAACCATTTATCCACAGCTCTGCTTGCTTTTATTATTGTCGTCATTATCTTCAAATTACCTTTTTATGATGCCTTTCTTCCCAAAGGACTTTAAAGAGCATCTGAATTGATGAATGAAATGAGTGGTCTGGTGTATGAGAAGCATCTGGATTATTTAGCCCTGAGAATACTGAGAGAAGGTTAAGAGGCAACATAGTGCTTAAACTAGTCAAGGATTGTTATAAAGACAAGACTGCATAGCCTATTTGAGATTGATGAACAAGCCAGAATCAAAGGTCATAAAACTAGATGCAGGAGGAATCGTATTTAAAAAAAAAAAAAAAAGCATTGGGGACCTTTTCCAGAGTGTGGTAAATAGGTGAAATGGGATTCTAGTTGAGATAGTAGAGTCAAATAGTAAGAATTAAACGAAAATTGAACATATATGGCATTTAATAAAGGAGATTGAGTGAAAATTTCATGAACTATTAGATATATTATATGCCTCTTTACTGGAAAGACAACCCACGTTAGCCACTAGGGCCAGTCTTGAACCAGCTCAACTGCTGTGGTAAATTTCAACCACTACAACTCCTATCTCTAAAAAGATTAACAGGAAATATCATATTCCTCATGTACCTTACACATGGTTCTTTTGCTCAGCTCAGATACATACAAAACACCAAAACTCCAAGTCTGCTTCAAAGGAGAATGAGCCAAGGCCCTTTGGTGCATTTGGTAGGAAGGACTTTTCCTCAGCCAGCCTTCAGCTGAGGGTTTCCTCTGCAAGTAGGACTATTTTGGTAGGCACAAAGTCATGGACTTTGAGATAAACTGCTACATTAATCCAGGGACGAGTTGTAATTGGATCACAGAGGAACAATTAACCTCACTGCAAGGAACAATGGATGCATTGGATACTTTGGCATATTCAGTGACACCCGTGTTAATGATGAGACGTACATTTTGGCTACAATTTTCTGATATTCCACATGAAATTAAAATGCCATTTAAAATGTACCTTTGGAGAGATCTGAACTAGTTATTTGGAAAAGCAGACCACATTTTGAGTTTATAAAGAATCTGGGAGGTTGTGGAATCTCCATCACTGGAGATATTTAAGAGCAGCTTGGATAGACATCTATCAGGGATGATCTGATAGTGCTAGGTCCTGCCGTGAGGGCAGGAGACTGGACTCAATGAGGGTATGTCTACACTACCCTCCTAGTTGGAACTACCTAGTTCGTGCCCCGTGTAGCTGCGCTGCACGGGGTTCGAACCAGCGGGGTTTTAAAAATGGCGGCTCCCCGCTTATGCAAATGAAGCCCGGGAAATTCAAATCCCAGGCTTCATTTGCAAGTGCGGTATGCCTACATTATCCCGCTAGTTCGAACTAGTGGGGTAGTGTAGACATACCCTGACATCTTAAGGTTCCAGTTCTAGTGTTCTATGATTCTGATGCCATTTTAAGGTCATTTGAAGTCTCAAACGTTAGTCAGTAACTTTAAAAACAAGTAGTCCTGTGGCATCTTAGAGACTAACAAAAATACATTTAGTATCATGAGCTTTCTTGGACAGAAGCACTTCTTCAGATAAACTTGAGTGAAGCTCATGATACTCTCTCTCTCTCATTCACCATGCGCCCTGGGCCGGCGCCCTCCAGAGCTGCGTGTCCGGGCGTGGGGCCGCACATTTGCCACGCACCCGGGGCCGGCGCCCCCCAGAGCCACGTGTCCGGGAGCGGGGCTGCCCATGCATGTGGGGCTAGTGCTGCACGTGTGGGGCTAGTGCTGCACGTGTGCGGCGTGCCCAGGACTGGCAACGCGCATTCACCGTGTGGCTGGGGCGGGGTTGGCCCCAAGCACTTGGTGGGTGCACATAAATGCCCCAGCGGACGCCATGCCACCCACGGGCACCGTGTTGGGGACCACTGCACTAACTGAAGTATTGGAGCATAAGCTTTCGTGAGCAAAGACCCACTTCGTCAGATGCATGTCCACCTGATCTTAATGCTTTTTAAAAATCCCGTGTTACTAAGTAATACATGGTGTATTGTATTGCAGTAAGGTCAGTTCTTTGCTATGTGGTAGAGTTCTGGCTCTTATGAGTCAGAAGTAGAAAGCACTAGGTTTGTTGCTTTTTGTTTTCTAGGATGAAACCTTATTTACGGGCTCTTTGAAACATGCATCTGTCTACAAACCCTGACGCCATGTGTTAATTTGTTCTGGGGCTTCTACTCTTTGATTTGGTGACACACGAAAGGTGAACATTTCAAACTAGGAGAAATGTTACCTATTTTTACAGCATGGATCCTAAACATTCCCCAGAGAAACTGTACAAATCTTAGTGAATGCCTTTTATTCTCTTTTTCAGTATCAGTAAATATTGTATTAGACATGCTCTTCTTGCAAATATTATTTCTAGTTGACTCATAGGTTTGTTTAGCATCTTAAAGCTGAGCTGTGTGTGGATAATATGCATTTTGGTGTGTTTACTAGCTTGAGTTGTTAGGATAATGATGCATGTACACCAAGGTTTGTGTTAATTTTCTTTTTATTAATTTTATGTTAAATATTGTACACATTGCTCCTTGTTAAATATCCCTTATTTTAATATATTTTTCCACACATATGGAATGAAAATGTGTGTGTGTGTGGGGGGGGGGGGGTTTGTTTTTGTTTTGGTGCACATCCACACACTACCTCAACATTGGTGTTACATGTAAGAAAATTCAACCTGCCCAAGGATAGAAAATGTTAGAGGGAATTGTGATGGGGGTACAAGTGAGTTTCATACCATCATGCTGTTTTGACAAGTGCTTGTTTATGTTAGGTGGTTGTTCTTTATCTAGTGTTTCATCATGCTGTTTTTGATTACAGCTATCTTGTCCCAATTGATAGATGCTTGCCTCCTTTTCAGAGCCCTCAGTCTGCCCACTGCTTGCATCTCAATGGGGATATACAGCAATCTCCAGAGCCTTTACATCTGTCCCTGGTTCCTCCTTAGAATATCTGGTCTGATGTTGGCCTTGACACTTATCTTTTAATACACACATTCCTCATTCACATAAAACGGGTAGATAAACAGAATTTTAAAGGAGCAGATCACTGCATTCCTTTACTATGCTATATTACAATATATACTTCAGATTAAGAACAGAATGACCATAAGAATCTAAGAATTTCTGTCTCAAAATGGTTTGGCAGAATATACATCATAAAACGTTTTAAGACTTAGCACATTAAGACTTGAATACTTAGAATGTTTATATATAAAAATAATTAAAAATAGGAATTTTTCTACTATACTGAGCTGAACTGATCTACGCTCTCAGCTCCTGGGAAGGAGTTCTCCATGAGTTCAGCTTCCTGAGGTGTCTGGCTGTGATAGCTTAGACTCATAAAGAAGGGACTCAGGATACTTGGAAGGTCTGAGATTTTACCTTCAATTTCTATTCAGTGGCTTTACTTTATCCACCTGACAGCAGCAGCTAGAAGGAAGTGATCCATGAGAGCAGCAGTATTTCACTTTTGCATGAAAATCTTAGCTGTTTGACTTGGACCATGGATTGCAATCTGGCAGACCCTGGTTCCCTAATGGCCTCCCCCAGGTGTGCAGCAAGCACTGAAGCCAGAAGGGACAAGACCCCAAGTCCTCAACCCACAGGAAGTCTTCCCTGACCATATGGCTATGCTTTACTGGACTCTTTATATACCCTTGGCATATAATGGCTTCAGGCTGAGTGAAAGCTGATGCTAGATTTTGCTCCTAACCCCATAATTATAATTTCCTTTTAAAGTCGTTCAGTGCAGTGACACCTTATAGAGCATATCTGGCAAAAACAAACAGCAACCTACATGTCAGAGAGAAATTTTAGGAAGTGTTTTGACTGGCAATAGTGCACAGAAAAGGAACAAAATTTCATAATTCAGATGAAAAAAGGAGGTCCTAATTTGAATCCTGTTTTTCCTCGTGTGCTCCCTAGTGTTTAATTGTTACATAGTTTAAATATACTCATAGGCTCATAGACTTTTAAGGTCAGAAGGGACCACTAGTCTGACTCCCTGCACAGTGCAGGCCACAGAATCTCACCCACCCCCTCCTAAAATAATCCTCTCACCTATATCTCAGATATTGAAGCCTTCAAATAGTTCGAAGACCCCAAGATGCAGAGAATCCTCCAGCTGTGATCTGTACCCCATGCTACAGAGGAAGGCGAAAATCCTCCAGGGCCTCTGCCAGTCTACCCTGGAGGAAAATTCCTTCCCGACCCCAAATATGGTGATCAACTAAACCCTGAGCATGTGGGCAAGACTTGCCAGCCAAACACCCAGAAAGTTCTTTATAGTAAGTCCTATCATCCCTCCATTGAACTATTTACCACTGATAATGAATGGTCAATTAGTTACCAAGATCATGTTATCCATCAAACCATCCCCTTCATAAACCCATGGGCTACGTCTAGACTGGCATGATTTTCCGGAAATGCTTTTAATGGAAAAGTTTTTTCGGAAGTATTTTTGGAAAAGAGTGTCTAGATTGGCACAGACACTTTTCCGCAAAAGCACTTTTTGCGGAAAAGCGTCTGTGGCCAATCTAGACGTGCTTTTCCGCAAAAAAGCCCCGATCGCCATCTTCGCCATCGGGGCTTTTTTGCGGAAAACAAATCTCAGCTGTCTACACTGGCCCTTTTGTGCAAAAGTTTTGCACAAAAGGGACTTTTGCCCAAATGGGAGCAGCATAGTATTTGCGCAAAAAGCACTGATTTCTTACAGTAGGAAGTCAGTGCTTTTGCGGAAATTCAAGCAGCCAGTGTAGACAGCTGGCAAGTTTTTCCGGAAAAGTGGCTGATTTTCTGGAAAAACTGGCCAGTCTAGACACAGCCCTCTAGTTTAATCTTGAAGCCAGATAGATCTTTTGCCCCCACTACTTCCCTTGGAAGGCCGTTCCAGAACCTCACTCCTCTAATGGTTAGAAACCTTTGTCTAATCTCAAGTCTAAACTTCCTACTGTACAACTGTTCCTCTTCTGCCATCCTACAAGGAATGATACAGAACACCCTTCTATTGTCACCTTTCCCTTTATGAAGCATTTTTTGTGCTTGAGAGTATTCAAACATTGTTGTCTTCTTGCCTGGTTTGTTGAGGATTGTTCCTAAAGCATAGCACAAGGCATAGATTATTCTGTCACTGCCTCTTCCAGTCTAATGGCTATAAGTGAAATTCTTCCAGATATTTAGACTTCCATTTAATTGGTTTTACCTGTGTTCTGCTTTTGTTCATGAGTTAGTTCCTTTAGACTCTTCATCATTTTTGTTGCTTGTTTCTCAGTTCTCTCAAATTTGTAAACATCTTTCTGATACTGGGGCACCCAGATCCTAATGTGTTTGCAAAACATCCATGAAGAGGATGATTATGTATATTACCTACCTGAGCCTTTGCATAAGAAGCCTACACATTTTTTGCAGTATTTTTTAAAAAATACATGAATGTGAACCATCACCTTTCGCATCTCCAGTTGTCAGAGGTTTTGGATTTCAGGTCTAGCTCAAAATCAGACATGGGATGATGTCTACCGGTTCTTGAAACATGGTGTTATTCATGGGAAATAACTGTGGGTGCCCCTTGTCATATTGATGGGCATTATGTACTAAGCCCTATGTGTCAAGATGAAATTATATGCCTTTATGAGTAAAGCTTATTTTGATGGAGCATAATATATGATAAACAAGTGCTTGTCTAATGCTCCAGTAAACACATTTCTACTTCAAGAGAGATGTAATCACTCTAATTCAAAATGCTGATTTTTTTTTTTGTTTCATATCCCAGGATTGCTTAGTCAAGCTTGGCAGTTTCTCTTTCATGACTGTAAGTTTTTGAATTGGAAAATAAAGCCTATTGCTCTAACAGTTAGATTTATTCCAAAACAAGGATCACAAACCATCTTTGACTGACTGTCATAGACTCAGTTTTGCTATCTACATCCTCTGCTTCTTTTCACTAACTGTATGGATTTTAAAGAAACTGTTCTTTACTACAGAAAGGATGTGGATGCATTGGAGAAGGTCCAACGGAGGGCAACCAAAATATTTAGGGGGTTGGAGCACATGAGCTATGAGGAGAGGCTGAGGGTTTGGGGCTTATTTAGTCTGCAGAAGAGAAGAGTGAGGGGGGATTTGATAGCAGCCTTCAACTTCCTGAAGGGAGGTTCTAAAGAGGAAGGAGAGAGGCTGTTCTCAGTAGTGACGGATGGCAGAACAAGGAGCAATGGTCTCATATTACAGTTGGGAATGTCTAGGTTGGCTGTTAGAAAAAACTATTTCCCTAGGAGGGAGGTGAAGCACTGGGATGGGTTACCTAGGGAGGGGCTGGAATCTCCATCCCTAGAGGTTTTTAAGTCTTGGCTTGACAAAGCCCTGGCTGGGTTGATTTAGTTGGGATTGGTCCTGCCTTGGTCAGGGGGCTGGACTTGACTCCTGAGGTCTCTTCTAGCCCTATGATTCTATGACTTGTGAACAGATTTATTTGGTTCATTGTCTTCTCTGAAAAGCAGTTTTTATTATGACTCCTTTCTCTTTGGTTCCAATGCATGGTGTAGCAGGACAGAATCTAATCAAGTGGGGGAAGAGGATAAAGGGTTATCAGACCCACTGCAGTATAGACATTACCTTCCAAACATTGTTCACTGAAGTGTGGGCATTCACCAAGTCTGTTAATTGCATAGAGAGTTTCCTGCTCTTTGCCTCCATACATTGCTCAAGTTTGTGTCTTCTATTCCCAGTGCAGGAGAATGAAAGGAGCAGGCAGCTGCTGCCACTGAGCCATTTTCTCATTGCTTCATCAGCCATATAGGCTGCAGCATTCTCGCTCTGCACAGGCAGGCAGCAAGCCCTGCAGCAGAACTCCAGTTTTGTCCTACCGGCTTAAAGCTATACAATAGTATTTAGCAGCTCCAAGCTCATCTTTCACTCGGCCTTACATCCTGCTGTACCAAGGAAACCAATGTTAATTGTGCCTCCCCGCTATGGGAGGGAGGTGCATCCCGTAGTCTGCGTTAACTGCCCTTTATTGATGATGACCTAAGGGCAAGTAAAGTGCCAACAACAATGTTGATTGTTTGATTTCAAAATCCCATCATGGTATAAATGTCGCTATCACACCATTGTCTGCTTTGTTTTCCAGAGAGGCTGGTATGACAGTGAAAATGAATACTACTTGCTGCTCTTCACCCTGACTGTTCGCTGCCTCTATTATACTAGTTTCAGCCTAGAATACTGCTGGCATGGGTCTACCCAGAAGAGGTATCACTCATTTTTTTGGATGCTCGCCTACATGTTCTACTACCCTGTGTTCCACAATGGACCCATTATGACCTTCAATGAATTTACTAAGCAGGTAACAATATTGCGCTTGGTTTTTGATACATCTGATGTGGAGTGCAGGCTAATTCCTCTGAGGTTTTGCGCACTTTCTGCAAGATTCTCAGCTTCCTCGCACATTACTTTTAATGTGAGGGTTGAGAGTACTGAGTGCTTTGATAAATTGGCCAGATTGGGGCCTGACAGAAGGAAGATAAAAACTTGAACAGTAGTTGGGGGGCCACGGGCTAAAACTACACATATTAATGCCCCTCAGAAGATGATGGTTCTGGATTCAGACTTTGAAGCTCAGACCTGTATCTTGAAAATAATCTCTGAAAAGCTGCTAAATAAATTGGTGACGTCTTTTCTGCTGCCAGATGTAAGCTGTATTTAAAAAAAGAGATTGTGTGTGTTTGGGCAGTAGGGTAGGGCAGATTCTTTCATCTTTTGAGAGGTGGTGTCATTAATTAGATTAACATTTTGGATAGGGAGAGCCTAAAATTCCTTTTTATCCATTATTTCAGATGGTTCTTCTAATAATGTATTTTAAAATGCACTTTGCAGATAAGTCTGAGTTAAGTTTATTTTATAATTATCTACTTGATAAGAAATATTTTCATCTCAATGTGATTTTTTTTAATGTTCATGTATCTTCATCTTTCTCTTTTTTTGTAAGGCTTGAAGTACATTGCTTGCTTGAAAGAGGGGTACAATGAGAACACAAGCTTAGGTATTACCTTTTTACACATCAGCCATAGAATAATACTGAATTCGTAAAAGACTAGTAGTTAAAAACAGAGCATTTGTTTCATTGATTGAGTGACAGATTGAAGAAAAATGTCCAAATGGGTCTTAAAATCTAGTAATGATGGTAAACAGAGGCTGATTTAAACTATGAGCCTTAGTGTTCTATTTTTTAATTTATCTTCTCCATGAGACTGTAAAATTTTGAAGATATGAATATTTTAGTTCCTTTTTGAAACAGATACAGGTGACCACCCACTTCCAACCGCCTGACCTACGACCCCCTGCATTTACAGCTGCCCTTCTCTGGAAGCCACAGGGTTCCCTGCCTCCCAACCTAGCCCCCGGCCAGCCGGCTCATGGCACCGTTTCAAACTCATTCACTCCCCCCTCCCAGGAACTACACAATTATTGCTCACATGGGAAAAGAGATACAAATAGCCATACAAAAGGTATCAATCTTTTTCCTAGTACAAAGTTTCTATTAGTACAAATTTTTAGTTCATTCATCATAATGCAATCTATATTCTAATTAGTCTTAAAAGCAACAGTGTGATCATGCGAATCACAAGGATTCTTCTGATCTCTTTCTGTCTTATCAGATACAAACACAAACAGTTTGCCTAATGCATCTTTATTAAGAGCCTGGAAGACTGTTTGTTTTTTCCTGCTAACCAGAAAAGGGTAGATGGCAGAGTTATGGTTGTTTAATATTTATTCTCACACTACCTATTAAGCACGTTACTTAAAACTTTATAAAACTCTGTTGTCTACACAAATACAGGCAGTCCCCGGGTTACGTACAAGATAGGGACTGTAGGTTTGTTCTTAAGTTGAATCTGTATGTAAGTCGGAACTGGCATCCAGATTCAGCCACTGAATCTGGACACCAGTTCTGACTTACATACAGATTCAACTTAAGAACCCCAGGCGTCCCCAAGTCAGCTGCTGCTGAAACTGATCAGCAGCTGATTCCAGGAAGCCTGGGGCAGAGCAACTCTGCCTCGGGCTTCCTGTAGTTAGCCGCTGGTCAGTTTCAGCAGCGGCTGAATCTGGACGCCAGTTCCGACTTACAAATTCAACTTAAGAACAAAACT